CGACATCGACAATGACATTTTATCGAGTTTCTCGTCATTGAGTGATAGCACGAGTAGCAAAAATTTTGCGCCCGATGTCATCTAATTTCTCAAACTCATCAAGAAGCATGAACAAGTGGCAAAGAAAAAATAACTGAATGAGGCAATCTGGGACGAAGTCACCATCGACATTGAGGAACGTAAACGCGATTTGTAAATTTTTCTCAATTTACCAGGTTTTCTGAAGTAAAAGAAAGTAAAATTTTTAAAATCATATAATTTTAATACATATTTTATAGATTTTAGTTTATTATGAATAAAAAACATTTTAAAACATGACATATATGAAAAATCAAATTTTTTTGTGGTTATTTTTCAAAAATAATTGAAATTGAAACGAATAAAATTTTTTGAAGAATTTAATTTAATTCGAAAATTCAATTTAATTAAAAACAAATTTTTTTCAATTAAATTTAATCGAATAAAGTTGTTTTATGTACAATATTATAGCGAAATGTACAATATCATTTTTTTGATTTAAATTAAGAATACAATTTTTAATACTTTAAAAAGGTAAAACACAATGAGGAATAAAAAATGTCTTATTTTTCAGATGAACAAATAAAAATATTATTAATTGAGAAAATTAAAAAAAAAATTAATAAATACGACTATCAGTTTTTTTGTTTGCTGACTTAATGACGGAGAAGTGATGCTCTTCGTTACGATAATTGTGATTGATTGCTTCTTTTCGGCGCTTCTTATACATTTCAGTCTATTAATCTTCGAATTTCTATAGTCATTGGATAGTAGTCATTTTCTTCTGTTTTGTTCGACTTACTGGGGGGGTGAGGTTTAGATGTCATGTTGTGATTGAGATATGGAGGTGGTAAGTGTGGGAAAAGAGATTAATGTTCATGGAAAGGTGAATACATACGGGCGCAATTTGTATTATAAGCTGGTCCCTTGTAGGTTGTATAACCTGCTATGGGATTCCGTTTAGCAACGGCGCTAAGTAGTGCTACGCTACGCTACGCTACGCTACGCTTAGCTACTCTACGGATTCTTCTAATTAAAAAACAACTTAAAAACAGGGTAGTACAACACAACACAGTACAGTACAGTACAGTACAGTACAGTACAGTACAGTACAGTACAGTACAGTACAGTACAGTACAGTACAGTACAGTACAGTACAGTACAGTACAGTACAGTACAGTACAGTACAGTACAGTACAGTACAGTACAGTACAGTACAGTACAGTACAGTACAGTACAGTACAGTACAGTACAGTACAGTACAGTACAGTACAGTACAGTACAGTACAGTACAGTACAGTACAGTACAGTACAGTACAGTACAGTACAGTACAGTACAGTACAGTACAGTACAGTACAGTACAGTACAGTACAGTACAGTACAGTACAGTACAGTACAGTACAGTACAGTACAGTACAGTACAGTACAGTACAGTACAGTACAGTACAGTACAGTACAGTACAGTACAGTACAGTACAGTACAGTACAGTACAGTACAGTACAGTACAGTACAGTACAGTACAGTACAGTACAGTACAGTACAGTACAGTACAGTACAGTACAGTACAGTACAGTACAGTACAGTACAGTACAGTACAGTACAGTACAGTACAGTACAGTACAGTACAGTACAGTACAGTACAGTACAGTACAGTACAGTACAGTACAGTACAGTACAGTACAGTACAGTACAGTACAGTACAGTACAGTACAGTACAGTACAGTACAGTACAGTACAGTACAGTACAGTACAGTACAGTACAGTACAGTACAGTACAGTACAGTACAGTACAGTACAGTACAGTACAGTACAGTACAGTACAGTACAGTACAGTACAGTACAGTACAGTACAGTACAGTACAGTACAGTACAGTACAGTACAGTACAGTACAGTACAGTACAGTACAGTACAGTACAGTACAGTACAGTACAGTACAGTACAGTACAGTACAGTACAGTACAGTACAGTACAGTACAGTACAGTACAGTACAGTACAGTACAGTACAGTACAGTACAGTACAGTACAGTACAGTACAGTACAGTACAGTACAGTACAGTACAGTACAGTACAGTACAGTACAGTACAGTACAGTACAGTACAGTACAGTACAGTACAGTACAGTACAGTACAGTACAGTACAGTACAGTACAGTACAGTACAGTACAGTACAGTACAGTACAGTACAGTACAGTACAGTACAGTACAGTACAGTACAGTACAGTACAGTACAGTACAGTACAGTACAGTACAGTACAGTACAGTACAGTACAGTACAGTACAGTACAGTACAGTACAGTACAGTACAGTACAGTACAGTACAGTACAGTACAGTACAGTACAGTACAGTACAGTACAGTACAGTACAGTACAGTACAGTACAGTACAGTACAGTACAGTACAGTACAGTACAGTACAGTACAGTACAGTACAGTACAGTACAGTACAGTACAGTACAGTACAGTACAGTACAGTACAGTACAGTACAGTACAGTACAGTACAGTACAGTACAGTACAGTACAGTACTTATATTACAATTTAAAAAAAACGAACAATCATCTCCATGCTTAACATAAACATTTATTTTAACCCTTTTATAACCCTTGGATACATTGTAAACAATTTTTACCGCCATCTTAAATAATTATGGTAACGAAAACTAAAAAAAATTTGATTTTTTGAAAAAAACTCAGTGTATTCTCCTCTTAAGTGAATTTCAATTTGTGTTATAGCTAGTGACTTTGCGCTACGCTCCGAAGCGATTACACCGTAGCGATTTGGAACAAAATCTTGACCAATTCGCTAACTCGTAGCGCCGATAGACTTTGTTTTTTATCTTACACGCCACTAATTAATTTTTTTGACAAAATTCAAACGGGAGTTGATCTTGATTATCATATACAATAAGTCTGTAAAAAAAAATTAATTTTTTAGTGCTAATTAATGCAATGCGCTACTTAGCGCCGTTGCTAAAAGGAATCCCATAGCTGGAGTATTGCCAGGAGAATAAGTGGCTGAAGATTAAGGAGTCGATGGATAGTGTTGAGCTTAACAAGGTGGAGCATCGTTGGGTACCGTTCAGTCGGTTTTGTTTCCTTGGCTTCCATTAAAGTTGGGTTGTGGTAAGCCTTCGTATCTTTTGGGGTATGTTTCGGAGTAGACTGAGGCGTGGGCGAGGGGAGGGGAAATAATACCTGTAGGGTGCATCAAAAGATCTGGATCTGGGATCTTCGTAATCATAGTACCTGGGATATTGTGCGTAAGGATATCCCTGCGAGACTTCGTGAATATCTGGTTTATGATTTCAACGGCGTTAGAACTGATAGCGTTCGCTGAACTGATTAATCAGTTGTCTAAATGGATGCAGATGCTTGACTGATGGAAGTCTCTGCAATTGCACAGTCAATTCTTGGACTTGACTGCATTTGTGACTGTTCTGCGAAATTCGATTGGAATTCATTAACTCGAGGGGGGATTTAAAATTTCTGTTAGTTACGGCAATGCGGGTAGTTTGACAATTTTCGGAGGTAGTTAGGGTTGTTGGACATTTTACATTCGCTAGATATTGTCAGTTGGATACGTTTTTTATTTCACTTCTGAGGACTTTTGGTTAAGATGAAGGGGACGAGAAGGACGGCTGTACTTATTGAAACTCAATTCAGCAACGACGTTTTCAAATCGGACCTTTTTGACTCTTTGACTTGATCTTAAGGATCTGTCGAAGGAATTTGAATGATCGGCGAGCAATGTTTGATCGAAATATTCTTGTTTGACATTCGGTAGCCTAGAGACTGAAACTTAGTTGGTATGATTTACTTGTCTTTTGTACGGTTTCGCAGTCGTTTTAGCGATTGGTCTCGATTATTTCGTTGTTTTTTTTCTGCAAAAGGTTTGTATCTCGGGCCGCGATTTGCTTACGTTAGCGGTCGTGTACCATGTGTGCTTGTTGATGATTTCGGAATTATTGAAATTGCCGAATTGTTGCGCAACGGGAAATCGATTTTAGCTTTTGAATTTTTTTAAGTCACGGGAGTCACGTTTTTTTCGGGTTCATCTTCGCGTTTTTGTTGATTTAAGGGGGGAACACCAGTTGTAACTTTCGAAAAATCGATTTTTTTTGCATTTTCTTAAAGTATACATATTTAGAAATGTGTCTGTAAATTTTAAACTTGATCCGGTGAAAAATAAATGAGATATACAGAACACTGCAGCGGCGCGTCCCGTGGCTTCAGACAAGGTGGCCAGCCATACCTGACCCTAACGACAGATGGCCTTTTCCTATGATTTAGAAACGGCAACCACTGCGGAAGAGTTATTATATGGTCCAGGAATCGATGACTCTTTGTAAATTGGAAACAAAATTTCTTCTGAACAAAAAAAAGTAAGTTGAAACTTTAATGCGTTTTTCTCAAAATGACATTTTCCAAGTCGGTGACCACGATTACTCGAATACCATTAAACCGATTTATTTAAAATTTAGTGTGCTTCATTTACACATATAAGTCTAGTTCGTGATCGAAGGATTTTTTTTTATGCAAAACTTTTTTTTATATAGCTGAAAATCGACCGTATTTTTTTAACGAAAATCATACTTTTGACTTTGACAGGTCGCCATTTTGTCAAATTTTTTTTTTTTTAAATCCTTCGATCACGAACTAGATAATCTTATAATAAATGTAAATCAATTTCATTTTTGTATTTCAGACGAAGTATACTTGCAGAATGCTGGTCACCGCAATTCGCCTTTTTTCTTAAGGCGCCACTTCAATGGCTCATATCTCTAAAAGTTTTTGTTAAAAAATTTTTTTTTTCTTTTAAATTACAGCTTTTAACATGTACTTTTAACTAATAAATAGTATTATTTAAAAAGATTCATTGTTCTTTTGGAAAATATTCTTGTAAAAAGCATTATTTCTTGAGTTACAACTGGTGTTCCCCCCTTAATTTGAGGGCGGTTTGAATGGAGATAACTTTTGGGACTCAAAAAGTCCCAATTGGACTCAATTCCTCTGGTCTCATTCCACCACCTCCGTTACCTAAAAACAAATTCCTTGAATAATTAAAGTCATCAAAATTATATCAAAAATTATTTCATAAAATTTGTAATTATTTTTTTATATCAAAAACTGTCTTGTGAAATGCGGGCATCACAGCACCTTTCCAACACAAAAAAGGTGAAAAGGGGATTTTTTTTCCTCAAAAAGGGGACAAAAAGGGGACAAAAAGAGGAAAAAAAGTCCCAAAAAATATATCAATTTATAAGTTATAATGATTACAGGGTGTCTATTATTTTTGTTCTACAAAATTCCCGGTTATTTCCCGGTTTTTTCGTGATTTTTCCCGGTTAAAAATTTCTTATTAAATTTAAATTTATTCGATTTTAAGTATAAATAAATCTACAAATTGTTACAAAAATTAATCTATCTTATGAAAATAATTGTTCTCAACTTGACAAAAATCGTGAAATTTAGAGTTTTTTCAAAAAATTAGGGATTTTATCAAAAGCTACTTGCTAAAAAGGATCATTCGACAATTTTTAGGCTCAATTTTCACTCCTGAATCAGGGAAAAAATTGAGCCACATAGATTTTTCTGCATTTTTCCAAAAATAGTCATGATTCCTTGAAAATGACCCCAAAGAATACGATTTTCATAAGAATTAATTAAAATCTCGTCAGTCAGGAGATAAAAATTCTCCTGCTGAATCTGACATTTAGAAAAAATGTTATCAATATCAAAAACTTGCAAAAACCGTGAAAATTTAGCGTTTTTCAAAAAATTCAGGATCGGATCAAAAGCTACTGGCTAGAAAAGGATCATTCGACAATATTTAGAATTAATTTTCACTCTTGAGTCAGAGAAAAAATTGAGCCACTTGAATTTCCCTGAATTGTTCAAAAAAAAGTCATGATTCCTTATAAATGCCCCCCACCCCAAAAAAATACGATTTTCGGGAAATTAAGTAGAAATCCATCAATCACTGCATTAAAGTTATCTTGCAAGTGGGCTGTTTAAGAAAAAATGTTGATCAGATTTTTATTTTGTGAAACGATATCAGAAACTTGCAAAAATCGTGAAAATTTTAGCGTTTTTTCCAAAAATGCAGGATTTGATGAAAATCTACAGGGTAGAAAAGGATCATTCGAGAATAATTAGACTCAACTTTTACTTTTGAATCACGAAAAAATTTGATACACTTGAATTTACTGGAATTTTTCCAAAATCATCTCATGAATCAACCAAATCTCCCATTAATGAAAAATATTGATCAGCTTTTTATTCTCTAAAAAAATTGCAAAAAACGCAAATTTTTAGCAAATTTGTCCAAAAATTCGATATTTTATATTTAATCGGGGTAAAAAGCAATTTTTCAAAAACAAATTAATATACTAAAATTTGTTTTTAGTATGGTGAGAAAATTCCCGGTTTGCCAAAAAAATCCCGACTTATTCCCGGCTATTTCCCGGTTTTCCCGGTTACTAGACACCCTGAAATGTGTTAAAAGTTATATTAACTATATATTAATACTGAAATTTGCTACAGTTTTGGACTTTTTGGTACATAATAACTTTAATACATATTATAAATGTTTTTAAATAAAATATCGACATTATATAAACAAAAAAGTAGGTATGTGGAAGATATTAGATCACAGTTTTTTCAACTTTCTTCTTTTTTATCACCTTTTATATGATATCGGAATTTTTTTGTTGTATTAAGTTTTGAAGTTTGTCTACTAGTTTTCTTTTTTCACTTTTCTTAACTCGTAGTTTATCCAATCCATTAAATAATTCTTTCAAGACTACTTCTTGTTTTTTTTACCAAGAGCATTTTTTAATGCATTTTGAAAAACTTCAATAATCGGAATCAAAATAAAAGGCTCTAAATTCAAACATTGGATTTTAATTTTATAATCATACTGTAAAAATTTTTGTTTTTGAAATTTATTTTTAATTATAAGAAGGAAAAAGGAACAAAAATGAAAAAAGGAACAAACTGCCAAGAAAGGGGAAAAAGGGGACAAATCACCAAAAAAAGGGGACAAAGGGGACAAATCACCAAAAAAGAGGAAAAAGGGGACAAAAATAAAAAAAGGGGAAAAGGGGACCAACTGGGATGCCTGGAAATGTTAAGAAACTTGATAATATTATTTAGATTTTTCTAGAAGATTGTATAAAAGAAATGTGTGTTTTAAAAAATTAATTAAAAATGTATAAAATGATAATTACTAAAAGAAATATTAATATAACTGGACAATCATTAGAGATTCTCGCCGGCACATTGGACAATTCAAGAGTCTCTGCTGGTACTTTCTTTTGCAGCGGTCGCATATGGCTATGTGCCCACATGGTACAAAAGCACATGTTCCTGGTTTCGTTTTGCAGATACAGCAGTTCTTATTGAAATCTGTTTAAAAATGTAAGATAAAAATATGTTTTAAAAAAGTAATCATTTTTAATGTAAATAAATATTAATAAAGAAATTTAATAATTTACATGGGTAAAATAAAATTTTATATACCAATATCTCTGTGTCTTCTTTCCCGTCCCGCATTTCTTTGTAAATTGTCTTCAACAGTTTCGTCGGAACTTTCGTTGGAATTTTCATCAACATTTTCGTTTACATTTTCGTTGTTATTGTCGCCAAAATTGTCGTCAACATTTTCGTTTAAATCTTCGTTGATATTGTCGTTTAAATTTTCGTCTACAACTTCGAAATTGTCATTGATATTACCATTAAAATTTTAGTTGTTATTGTTGCCAAAATTGTCGTCAACATTTTCGTTTAAATTTTCATTGATAGCGTTGTCGAAATTTTCGTCGTCAATTTTTTCAAAATTTTCGTCGTCAATTTCTTCGAAATTTTCGTCATCAATTTCTTCAAAATTTTCGTCGATAATTTCTTCCCAGTTTTCATCGACATTTTCGTCTTCGAGAAAATGCTGTTGATTTACAGCTGGTTCTTCAACAATTTCTCGTCTAAATTCTTCAAGATTTTCTTCTTCCACTTGATTCTGTTCTCCCCTTTCCTCTGTCTCCAAAATTTCAAGTAAATTGTCTATATTTAGACGTGGCGCTTCAACGTTTTCATTGTCTTGATTCAAATTTTGAGGGAAATTTCTTCGGTTAACTGCGTTGTCGTCTGTTACTAAAATATAAAATCTTAATTAATATATGTTACTAATTATAAATAGTAATATTATGAACTAGCTTTCGGTCCCGCCCTCGGCGGGCACGATATCTAGTGGCGTGCGACCGGCAGTATTTTTGTTAAAAAATTATTTTTACAATCCCTTTCTATATTCTTACAAATCTCGGACTTTTCTTCAAACATTGTATGTAAAATTAATTACAATATGACCAAAATGAAAAATTTTGAATTTTACATAAAATGTCATAATTTCCGTTCAAATTAATATTTTTTCATCTAGTAAGGCTAGAAATTTAAGTTAGGCTAACATCTACGAGACTGCCAAGTTTCACTTCAATCGGTAAAACCGTTTCTGCGTGAAGCACGTTCGAAATATTGATGACAGATGCATACATACATACATACGTACGTACAGACATTATTTTGTTCATGTCATTTTGGGTTTTTTATGGTATAAGATGAAAAAATATGTAAAAAATTTTTAAATTGTTCAATGTATGACAAAAAAAAAAATTATAGCTATATTTCAAATTTGGCTTATAATTTTTGTAAAATCGTACTAAAATGTGACTAAATAGCATTAAACATTCATCAGGAAAACGTTTAAAAGCAATTTATAAAAAAATTGTTAATTTAAAAATTTTCGATTTTTCGTGTTTTTGAAAAATTTTTATATTTCCTGTTCTAATTAATATTTTTTAAATCTGTAAATTTATAAACCTTACTTGAGTCAAGACCTAACATTCCACCGAATTTGGTCTTAATACGTGCAACCGTTATTTAGTGATGCGCGAACTAAGATTCTGTGACATACATACATACATACAGACATGAAATTTTTTATGGGTATATTTGGATTCCTTGAAGCTCAAAACGAAAAATTATACAAGAAATTTAAACTTTTAGGCAATGTACAGACAAAAGTCTGATTTTATTTATATAGATAGATAGATAGATTACGATTAACTTATTTACAGAATATTTAAAAAATTTTAATTTTCTATATAATTTAGAAATTTAAAATTTTTTTAAAAATACTCACTATTTCTAAAAAGAAAATTAAAAAACTCCATTGCCAGCTCTGCAAATGAATAAGTCATAATATTCAAAAATTCGTCGATATTCATTTCGCCTCTGTCCAATTTCACCCATCCATCTTTTAAAGTTTTTCTTTGCGTTCTAGGAAGGATATTAGGGGTCTGTAACTTTTGTCTACTGTTAGTATTCAATTTTTCCAAATCTTTATGCAGTTTTTCTTGGATATAAACCAATCTTTCTAAAATATAGAAATATTAGCTGTAGTATTATTATTAACTAGCTTTCGGTCCCGCCTTCGGCGGGTACGAAATCTGGTAGCGTGCGACCGGCAGTATTTTTGTTAAAACAGTATTTTTACAATCCCTTTCTATATTCTTACAAATCTCGGACTTTTGTTTAAACATTGCATGTAAAATTAATTACAATATGACGAAAATGAAAAATTTTGAATTTTACATAAAGTGTCATAATTTCCGTTCAAATTAATATTTTTTAATCTAGTAAGGCTAGAAATTTAAGTTAGGCTAACATCTAAGACACTGCCAAATTTCACTTCAATCGGTAAAGCCGTTTCTGCGTGATGCGCGTTCGAAATATTGACGAAAGATGCATATACATACGTACAGACATTATTTTGTTCATGTCATTTTGGGTTTTTTATGGTATAAGAAGAAAAAATATGTAAAAAATTTTTAAATTTATTTATTAATTTATTTTAACTTTACTAAAAATCTTAAGCGTTTAAAATCTTTTATCTGATTGTAATAAAATTTCAATTAGAAACACGAAAAAATTTTTTATAAGAAGTTAAAATGGAGTAGAGTAGGTATAATCTTCTAAATTTTTATTTTTTTTAATTTAAATTTTTTAATTTTTGGTTTATAAATTTGAGACGCTTAATTTCACTGTCTTGACAATAAAATTTCAATTATAAATACCAAAAACAACTCCACATAAATTTTAAAAGCATTTGGTTTGAAAAAGAAAATTAAAAAACTCCTTTGCCGGCTCTGCAAATGAATAAGTCATAATATTCAAAAATTCGTCGATATTCATTTCGCCTCTGTCCAATTTCACCCATCCATCTTTTAAGGGGAGGCACCACCTCTATTTTGAATCCTTTAAATTTTAATGATTGCAGGAAGTTGTGTTTTTTTTCTTGTATTATTTGGGTCTTAAAAACATAATGTGTAATCAAAAATAAAAAATATTAATATTTGGCAAGATTAGAATTTTTATTTTTTGATATAATTAAAATTTTTGAAAATCCATGCGAGAGATTCTGAAGAATTATTAAACAACTAAGAAAAAAAATTGGCGATGTAAAATAGTGAAAATTGTGAAAGTAGTTCAATATTTTAGAGGAGAGAATAATGAAATTTGAAGTCTCTTTTTTCTTTCTTTTTCTGAAAAATTAAAATTTTTGAAAATCCATGCGAGAGATTCTAAAGAATCAGGAGAAAAGCGTGAAAAAAAATTGTCGAGCGAATATAATAAAAATTGTGAATGTAGTTCCATTTCGAAAAATTTAATTTTTTAAAGATTATAAATTCTAAACGCGTCAAAAATTAATATTTTTTATTTTTGCTCTTACAGTATGTTTTTAGGACCCAAATAACACAAGAAAAAAAATACCACTTTATGCAATCATTAAAATTTAAAGGACTCAAAATAAAGGTGGTGCCTCCCCTTAAAGTTTTTCTTTGCGTTCTAGGAAGAATATTAGAAGTCTGTAACTTTTGTCTACTGTTAGTATTCAATTTTTCCAAATCTTTATGCAGTTTTTCTTGGATATAAACCAATCTTTCTAAAATATAGAAATATTAGCTGTAGTATTATTATTAACTAGCTGGTGTTATTATTATTAAATCTGGTGGCGTGCGACCGGCAGTATTTTTGTTAAAACAGTATTTTTACAATCCCTTTCTATATTCTTACAAATCTCGGACTTTTGTTTAAACATTGCATGTAAAATTAATTACAATATGACGAAAATGAAAAATTTTGAATTTTACATAAAGTGTCATAATTTCCGTTCAAATTAATATTTTTTAATCTAGTAAGGCTAGAAATTTAAGTTAGGCTAACATCTAAGACACTGCCAAATTTCACTTCAATCGGTAAAGCCGTTTCTGCGTGATGCGCGTTCGAAATATTGACGAAAGATGCATATACATACGTACAGACATTATTTTGTTCATGTCATTTTGGGTTTTTTATGGTATAAGATGAAAAAATATGTAAAAAATTTTTAAATTTGTTCAATGTATAGACAAAAGTCTGATTTTATATTTATACATAATGTGTTTTCAATTTATTTATTAATTTATTTTAACTTTACTAAAAATCTTAAGCGTTTAAAATCTTTTATCTGATTGTAATAAAATTTCAATTAGAAACACGAAAAAATTTTTTATACGAAGTTAAAATGGAGTAGAGTAGGTATAATCTTCTAAATTTTTATTTTTTTTTAATTTAAATTTTTTAATTTTCGGTTTATAAATTTGAGACGCTTAATTTCACTGTCTTGACAATAAAATTTCAATTATAAATACCAAAAACAACTCCACATAAATTTTAAAAGCATTTGGTTTAAGAAAGAAAATTAAAAAACTCCATTGCCGGCTCTGCAAATGAATAAGTCATAATATTCAAAAATTCGTCGATATTCATTTCGCCTCTGTCCAATTTCACCCATCCATCTTTTAATTATTTAAAACTTTGGTTATATACGAACATTAAGTATATTTATAAACAAAATTAAAACGAGATTTTTATTACAATGCTATTAAAAATATTTTTTAAGACAGTAAATGGAGCAGATATTACATCAACGATTCTGTATATACTCAATATTCTAATGTTTTAACATTAATATAAACATATAGTAAAAGATTAAAGAAAAAATCAATGGTAAACTTTTTGGCAATGAAGATTAATTCATCTGCAGTGTCCTATATTTATTATTATTCAAAAATTATAATTCGTTTAATGAAAATTTAAAACGAAAGTTACCTTACATACAAATAAATATTGATAGTATTAAAAATCTACGAATATGTTAAACATGACATTAATGTATATAAATGTTATATTTTTGAAATATTAATTATATTTTTCATTTTTGAGTTCAACTACTTAAAATGTACTATTATTCGATAATTGTTGTTTGTACAAAAAAAACAGTCTTTTTTTATTTCTTTGTGCTGAGGTAAAAGCACCAGTACCTGGACACTTTTGAACGGGTTTCATATTAAATCATATTTTATATTAAAGTAGTATATTATAATTAAAAAATTTTTTTTTCTTTGTTTAACTTACACCCTAAAGATATTATTTAATGAAAAGCTGTTTATAAAAAAAGAATTTTTTTATATTAAATATGAAGATTAAAAAATTACTTCAATACCCCCAGAATTTGGACAGGTAATTTCGAGGAACCGTAGTAGTTGGACATAGGTTGGACCCAGTAGTTGGACATGTTAGACATTAATTAAATAAGTAAATTATAATAATTTATTTATTTCTGTTTATTAATTAATAAATTAAAATAAATAAAAATTAATTTTTTTAGTTATTATATTTTGAAAAGAATAGACGATTGGCTATCAAAACGTAAAATAAATATATGAATTGTACATATAACCTCAAAACTTCTCTTTAAACCTATCAAAATCATCAAAATTATTGAAATTTTTAGAAGTTTTCAAACATTAAACAACGCCCTTTCGATATGATAAAGTAATAAATTTATTTAAAATACAATATAACAAGTTAAATGAATTTAATTTGTAAAATATTGAATTAAATCTTTGTCCAACTACTGCGGGGTTCGACATGTATTTATAAGCGGCAGGTAAACTTGGACACTCGTAATAACACAGATTTAGAGTAGTTAATTATTAAATTACAATTAATTTATTAATTTCGATTAATAAACAAATTATATAATTTAAATAAAAACTTACTGAACTGACAAAATTAATTAAATCTATCGAATTTATTTAGTTAAATGAATAAATGTTTGTCCAACTACTGGGTATGACATGTATTTAGAAGCGGCAGGTAAACTTGGACACTAGTTTTAGAAAAACAATTTTATATTATTAATAAACTAGCAACTTTGTCGTCCGCAAGCGGCCGAC